GTGCCAATGTCACACGGAGCAGCTCAGGACAGCGCGGTGCGTCACGATATGTCACGATATGTCACGATATGTCACGATATATCGCGACACGTCCCGATACGACGCGGCCACTCACTGGAGGAGCGCGAGGTGCTGTTGACGAAGACGTTGAGGAACTTCTTGGAGAACTGCAGGTCGGCCTCGGGGGACGAGTCCTCGGAGGAGCTGCGCGCGTCGGGGGCCACCAGCCCGTCGCCGAAGGCCACCTCGTCGTCGCAGGCGCGCAGGATGTCGCTGTCGTCGCTGAGCACGGACGTGCAGCGCCGCAGGCTSACCAGCTCCAGCTGCGTGTGCTCGTCCACCACCAGCGTGTATTTGACCGAATCGTAGGCCAGCGACTCGTCCAGCGCCGGCGGCTCCGGTGGCAGCGTCCCCTCCCCGGCCTCCTCCAGGGCCATGGCGAAGCCGCGGTTGGTTTTGGCCGTGGACACGTCCAGCGCGGCGGGGTCGGTGTCGGGCGCTAACCGCACGTCGTCGATCATGGAATCGGCCTCCGGTGCTGCCGAGTCCGGCTCGCTGTCCGGTGCCCGGCGCCGGGGGCTGGCGGGGTGGCGGTCACCGGTCACGCCGGAGGGCTGCTCGGTGCCCGGGGATGCTCGTGGTGGTGGTGGCGGGCGGCAACCCAGGGTGGCCAGGACTTCGGAGGCGTCCAGGCGACAGCCGAGAGCGACGGGGCGGCCGGGGCACACGGGAGCGATGGTGTCGTTGGTGGGGTTGCTGAGGAACAGGAAAGGCCCCGGTTCCTCGGCCGGCGGCTCCGGTGGCGGCTCGGCGGCGGTGCGCTCGGCCTCGGCCAGGGAGCAGCGCAGCGTCTCCATGTCCACCAGCTCGATGGCACCGCGCTGGTGGCCGYGCCGCTCCGCCGCGTCCCCCAGAGCCGCCGGCGAGTCCCGCGGGCCCGGCTCCTCGTCCAGCGCCTCGCTGAGGATCTCGGGCTCCAGGTCGGAGGCGGGCGAGATGGTGTCGCACAGCGAGTGCGTGTTCTGGAAGCACTCGTCCGGGCACTTGATGGGGTACGAGCCCTCCGAGATCATCTTGTTCACCAGGTTGCTGAGCAGCCACGGCGAGTCCGAGTCCTCGCTCAGGTCGGGCTCGGACTCCGAGTCCGAGTCGTACTCGCTGTTGTCCTCCTCGTCCGCCTCGGGCATCAGCTTGGGCCCCACGGGCAGGTAGAAGGAGCGGCGGATGCTCTCCAGGCTGTGGTCGGGGTCGATCTTCAGGTCCAGGGGGCTGGCGCTGGACACGTCGGTCTGGCCCTCGGGCGCGGGGCCGTCGGCCGGGTCCAGGCTGTCGTAGTAGGCGTCCATCTTCAGCTCGGCCAGGCTCTCCCTCCTGAGCACGCCGCGCTCCTGAGCCGGGCCCCGCTCGGCCGGCTCCTCCTCCTGCTCCTCCTTGCCCTTGTCCAGCAGCAGCGAGTCCTTGATGCCCAGCAGGCCGGGCGCCTCCAGCTCGGGCTCCAGCTCGCCCTCGGAGCCCGGCGAGCTGGCCTCCTCGATGGAGTTGGTCAGGTGGGACGAGCGGCCGCTGCTGCTGTCGCTGCTCAGGTCCAGCTCGGTCTCGGAGATGGACGAGATCATGTTGCTGACCAGTCGCCCGCCGGCGAACGCCGCCTCCAGCTCCCCGTCCACGTCCGAGTCGGAGCCGGGCGAGCTGAGCTCGTCCCCGCGCCGCCCGCCGGGCAGGAAGGGCTTGGCCGTGCGGCTCGTGAGRTCGGCCTCGATGCCGGGGTCCGAGGAGGGCGACGTGGTGTCCGAGGAGCCCGAGGGGTGGCCGCGCACGCTGGCGGCCCGGCCGGACTGGGGACCCTCCCCGTCGGAGCTGAGCGGCTCCGCGGGGCGCGCTCCCGG